ATTTTTCTATTAAAAATTTACTCATAACATTTTATATATTTATTCATTTAATTTTACATTAAAATTATAAATTCACAATTTTAAATAATATTATAATTATATAATTGCTGCTTTACTTTTCATGATTTACTGGAAAATCTAAATCTAGATCTAGTCTTCGTAACAACAAGATTTTGCCTCAAATTAACATGTGTAGAACCTAGACATGAAGCGTTTAGTGGAATCGGAATTCAAGCATGGGATCCCACAACGGATATGGCCTGAAGCGTTTGTTGCAATTACAAGAAGCATCCCACTAGTAATTCTGCTTGTTCAGAAAAGATTAATCAAGTCCTGGGCGGTAGCTGGAGCCGTTAAGGCAGGGACTAGGGAGCAAGCTTTTTGCATCCCTACCACTACCAAACAAGAAGCTAGAAGATACAAATTTCCTGTATTAACAATTCCGTATAAAATAAGAAAAATACTATTATAATGCTTCAAGAGAGCTCCTCTTTAGTGACCAAGGATCTATTGGTGCCTCCAGCGAAAACTCGGACAATTGGAATACAGCACCAATGCTCTTTGCCCAAACCACCACAAGGAATTCTCAAGGTTAATGTGGATGCTGCTTTTTCACCAAGTTTATAAATATTAGCTGATTGTGTTTGGCGTTGTTAATAATTGGTTATTAATTGATTTATTAATTAATAAAATTCATTTTCAATTAATAAAATTAACAATCAATTAACAAAACTAATAAAATAATATAAGTGATAATTTTTTTTTAATTCTAATAAGTGAGAAACTAAAAGTATTTTAATGTAAAGTGGGGATTAAAATTTATAAATTTGATAAAATAAAGAGTTAAAAAGTAAAGTTTATCCTTCCAATCCAACTACCTGATACTGCCACGTGTCTGATATTTTGTCCTACGATTATCACAATTGGCCCACATGATTGGTCTTTGGATGGCTCCGTTGGAATAGAAAGGCTTTGGGCCGCTACAGAATGGGTTTGAATTGAAGTTGCTTTAGAGGCAATAAAGTCTGAGGAACATACTTTGCTTGTGTTTGGGTTTTGGTCTCTCCTCATAAATAAAAGATCTAATTACAATATATCAACCCCGTACATATGACATAGAGCTTAAATTCTCATTTCCCCTCTCACCCCTTTTTTTCTATAAGGATCTTAACTAATTGATCAGTTTCATAAAATAAAATAAAATAAAAAGTATGAGATAAGGGTCATTCTACTTACCAAAAAAAATTGGGTCTCAATCTTACTATTTCCTTACAATTATGAGATAAGGGTCAATGTAAGATGTGTTGAGATTGCTTATGAAAAAAATTAATTTTGAAATATATAAAAATTGATTTAAAAATACTTAATTATAAATACTAAAAAAACAATAACAGTACGTCATGGACACATGGGATGGAGGCAATGATCATGTCACTAGATAATGCAGAGAGCCAAGATCCCCCACCATTGAATGGGTTTTCATTCATTCATCATCTCCCTGTACTCTTCCCCGTCTCCTCCTATTTACTCCTCCTTTTTTGTGGTTTTTACTTAAATAGATATGGTAATAGGCTTGGTAAGAAATTGCCAGCGCTAAAAACATCAACACTTTACTAGATTCGGAATCTTGACATAGGATCCGGCAGGGAATATGGAATGAAGCGTT